AGCTGTAGCTCCTCTGGTTGGCAAGTCTTGAACTTTCTCGAAGAAGTGGAAACCAGTGGCACATTCTTTGATAAAAATAAAACAAATGATTAACAGAGTTTACCTCTCATTCGTTGTTCCTGGTCATTCGCGAAACATGCGAAACTGTTATTCAACAATTCTTTCTACAAAAACTAATGTTACCAAAGCAACATTCCATCCTCTGAAACACTTTACTCTCTACTACTAATACTGTACTGCAGTCAGCATATCAGAACATAGATTCTTATTCAGAGTTAATAAGGGAACAGAACGATATGAATAGAATCGCATGTAAAGATTTTTTGAGAAGGATGAATATTTATAAACTGTACTGATTGCAATTCAGTGATAAACTTTGAGGGTTGCTGAACCCGTCTTTTAGCTGCAGGCACATTAAGCTCAAATGAAGGGTGTTTCTAAAAGTCTGTATTTTCGCTAGTTAGTGCCATAAAAATGAATGGCTGATTATTAAAACTTCGATAAATAATTGGTCATTTTTTGACGCCATTTTCAAGAGATCACATGACTAACTGTGGTAAAATACATCCATCAAAGAAGATGCGTCAAGCCTCTTCAAATTGGCTAAAAATGTCTCAAAAGGTGAACTCATCGCATTGTGCAAGGTGTTATTTCCCAGGTTTTGTTCTTGGCTCAAGAAAAATCCACATACCGGACTCATTTTTACCCCTTCCCCTTTCCCATTCGTCGCCCGATTGTATGCACAATATTGTTAATATTTGCTTCGGGAAATGTAAGGGGGCTGAGCAGCTCGGATTAGTGCGAAATCTGTGTTGAATGGGTTCGCTTCTGCGAATAGAGGGATTGGCCGATCTTAACATATCTGACACGCAACGGGCGCTCTGATTGGTTCAAAATCTATCGTCTATTGTGCCGTTAAACTATATTGAACTGAAGCATGAAAAAGGACCTTCACTCAGAAGTTTGTTGAAAATCTTGTTTACATTTAAAGTATAAAAACAAAGTATAAATGTCCACTCGAAACTTACGGCAATTCTTTTTTTTTTTTTTTTTTCAAGTCCTAGTTTAACTGAATAATTGAGACTCAGAAACTTTGGAACTAGAACTACCATTCTCTCCCTTTTGTCCTGGTTCACCCCTCTCCCCCTAAAGAAATCAAAATTTAACGTAATAGCAACGTACTTCATTGCATTCATTGACAGTGTCAAAGTCAGGTAAATCTCCAATAAGGGAAAATTAAGAAGCAAGAGAACTCTTACAGTTCGGAATGATGAATTGTTCTCCCTTGCCAAAACCTAATTCTATAAATGAATCTTCTTGGCTGGGATACCTACAGTAATCACGATTTAAATATTCCAAATAAATAATTGGTAACAGTTGACGAAAATCACTTAACTTTTTGCATTTGACAGTATAAAGACTATCATATTTTTAAATATAAATTTTACCAACCTTGATGCTAGCATTTACATTCACACCATGCATGCCTGGTTCACCTTTCTCTCCCTGAATAATTTAAAATGAATCGAAATAATCTCTCGACAACAGTAATCTCATGACAACAGTTTGATTAATGTACTTGCGAATACACGACTAAAGCCGTCTCGTCAGGATTAATGAATATCGAAAACAACCGCGTTCTTTGGCAAATAAAATGTAGTTCCAAGATTTATTTGAGTTAAATAGAAAACGATATTGAGATCAACTTTACTTCCGTGATAGTCTCTTTTTTTTTTTACTCTGAATCTCGATGAAGCTAGAACTTCACTTCCTAATGTTCAAGAATTCTTAGACTAGCACTCGGCATTTCATAGAATCGCTGAAGTTTCACACTCTCTCGAAGGATCGATGAGGAAGGAACTCGAAACACGATGTCAATTTGTTTAGTTTTTCGAGAGTTCGATGAAAATTTTAAGAATTTGGTTATGCGATAGGCGTCCTGAAAGACCTTGTTCCCGTGTTACGTTATGCTGACGTGTCCCTGTGATCATAAATAAAACTTGCTCATTGTGTACCAACCATCTTTAGGATCTGGATCCTTCCGCTCAGTCTTTTCCTCTGTTTACTTGAACTGTGTACAAAAAATCATCAAATTAATGTTTTCTCCGGTCGTTAATTATGAATAGCTCAACTCTGATTCTCAATATATCAACATTTGTAGTTTCTTAGTGAATAAAAGGAGAAAGAAAAAGTTAGCGTTTTGATGAAAGCTTTACTTTGCTGCGACTCATGCCTAAACTGAAATGACAATGTTACAGATGTGGCGGCGAAACAAAGACGAAATAAGTAACTTCAATTCATTTTGTTTTGCGATAGATTGATTATAATACGAAAAATATAGGCGTCGTCGTCATGGGTCTCGTTAAGTACCCTGTCCTGTCCTGGATATCCTGTGTGAAAGGCGAAAGTGACAAGTTAGATTCGGAGGCGAGGCGTGGTTACAACTTAAGCCTTTCGTCTTTTTCCTCCCTTTGTTTGTCTTTCATAAATGCCAAGTCCTTAGTCGACAGAAGGGCATAAGAAGGTTATGGATCGGAAAATAGAACTGAAACGTCTTCCCTCAGACTGTTTCCACTGAAAGAGTAAAAGGGAGGAACGAGAGAAAAGTAGAGAACGGGTGTAAACAATACCATAATATGCCCAAATCGAGGCTTGGTGCTAAAACAAGGTAAGCCACACTTATTGTGGTTACGCCTTCTTGGCGTGTATTTGTGACGATAAAATCCTTGAAATGCAGAGGAGAGTTTAAAATAAGCACTCAATTCGACTTCCTTTAGGAGAGAGAGATCAACTCTGTTTATTTTGGCTCAGGACAGTAAAATTCTAATTCGTATCGATTTTTACATCGCCATGAAATGTCTGGAAGGTGCATCCAGAGGAGATCTAGATCCTATGTTTGCATCTGCTAAAAGCAGTAGAGCGGCGTAAAACAATAGGGGGTTGTTAGAATGGTTAACTAATGAATCTTCTGTGTACTGGTGGCGATTTCTGCAGCCGAGCAAGTGGCGACTTGACATTCATCTTTTCATACCGGTTTTAAAACGAGTAACTCGACTGAGGGTCGTGGACATCCTCTTTAGGTGTTCCGAACTCGCTGACTCCGTGATTTTATGTCCACGCAGTTGGGCTAAAAAGTTCTCCGTAATATCTGCAGCGAGGAGCCTTAAAATACAGGTTTTCCTGACAGAATGATTGGTTACTCGTTTTCCTTCAAGCTGAAGGTCAACATCCTTTGCAGCTGTGGATAGAGAGTTGTAGATAATAGGTGCGAATAATAGCTTAAACTATTTTAAATAGTTCAATTTATTATTTATAATAGAGATTTTAATTTACATCGATTTTTGAAACGCATTAACTTAAGGCAAAAAATACGTTACTTCAGACCCGCACTATAGAACAGGCTTCACAACCAGGCAAATAATCATTTAATCTTCAGTCCTCTCAAAACACCATAAGAAAACTAGATATCAGTAGGTGTTGCTACCTCTATAAATAGTGATTTTATATTTTATATTGTCTAGTTTACAAGTAAATAGTTTTTTATTTGTCTAACAAAAAGCAACCTGACAAATAAAACGCAGTTCATTTCAGGATAAAATCGTTGGATGCAATGTAATTTTCAATAATACATCCGATAGGTTGAAATCTTACAGTGTTAGCTTAGTGTACTTACTCCTTTTTTACGTGACGCTTACCGCAACGCTTGATTAAACAAATGCTTCATGGCCTGCTCTACATCTTTCTTTGAAAAACTCTGACGCCTCTCTCGACACATATTAGGAGAAGAAAAAGCTTTTTGTGTCGTTTTTTTCCATCTTCCTCATTTCCATCTCGTTACAGCTGTAGTCAACTTACGCTAATTTCAAGGAAAGCATTCCGAGGGGGAGACACTTTTTCAATTTTCAAAGGGAATTTTTTTTCATCTTGTGAATAGACAGCCAGCCACCGTCTCAAGCCTCGTCGCTTTAGCACACAAGAAAAGCCCTCAGCTACGCGAGATAGCCCTCTTCTGTTGTTTTTTCAGATGTAGAGTATTTATACTCCCCCATGCTAGTAAATAGGTTGTATCGCCTGTATAATATGCATCACATCTCTTACATTTAAATTTGTTTTCAAGGTATTGTTGGTTCACTATGGAGGGCTTTTTTTTCGTAATTTGTAAACATTCTGAGGTGTAATTGTCTATGAGGACCGGTTACTATAGTCGGGTAAAACTTTCCAGCTGAGGGCATGAGGCTCCTTTCGTAGGAAGTCGGTAATTTTCTGAGGGGTGAGGTGATTCCTACAGTGCTCTCCATCCACATGCTCAGGGGAGTGAACGGAGGGGAGGAAGGGGGGAGAGGGCTCTCTATATGCTTGGTACACACCTGGTCCTGGTACTATTAAGAAGCGTGAAATCTGTTGAAAGTAATAACACTACATTCTTTTAGATATGTCAATTTTCTAGTACTTCATCTCAAAAGTGATCTTTTATACCAATTGTTAACATCGCATAACAACACTTTTTTGTATTGTAAAAGGTAAATGAATTTGCAGTCGACAGGAAATTCAGAAAATCAGACGATAGGATCTCCGACTCATTTTGATTAGAGATTCGTGGGATTGTTTAGGTGTGCGGGTGTCTCCTTAAAAGAGAATGGGATATTTGTACGCACAAATTTTCCAGCCTTTAAACTGATAAAGCGGATGTTTTGTTGCATTTCAAAGCGTGATGTTGTTATGGCAACCTATTGTCATGAAAATGATCACAAAAAAAGTAAAAAGTTGTGTCACCAAGCTCACTTCTAAGGCTGTTAAAAACAAAAAGAAAGAATGTTTCCAGCAAATGATGTAAGCAGTAACCCTTGTTGACGAGAAGACCATAAATTATATAAGAATTGTAATATTACATTTATGCTCTTGTCAAAGTCAACAGAGCGCTGAGAGCAAAGAATATTATGAGCTCTCTGAACTTTTAAACTGTTTCGAAGATATTTTCTTACTTAGAATTATGATACCAACCATTATCAACATTCTTGGATCCAAAAGAAATCAGAATTAAATGGAAATATGACCCCTGATCTCTTCGTCTGTGTAAAGAATTCATCAGGGTGTGAGGGTGGGAGGAGATGTGATTTCTGTGACAAAACACTCACAGAACAGATGAGTTGAGGGTATTTTAGTCCATTTAAGAATATTGAACGTATCTGATAGTACTGTTCTTGGGATCAACTTTTTATCAATGAAAGTGAAAGGTATTTACTCACACAAAATTAGAAAGAAACCAGACTTTAGTATC